GCTGTCTCCTGTCTCCTCCTTTTGGGCCTCAGTTTCCAAATGTGGCAGGTCCTGCTGATGACACTGCCGGTGATCTCAGATACTTGGTTCTTGCTATCACACAGCCTTCTTATGTTTGGATCATTGAGTAATCATTTAAGTGGTTTGCTCTGGTGGGTCTCACTATCATTACAGTCACCTGGGGGTTTTTAAATCGCCCCAAGTGAGGCTACATCCCATACTAATTAAGTCAATGTCTTCGGGAGTTGGACCCATGTAAGAATCTCTCTTTTTAAAAAAAAAAAAAAATTGCCAAACGGTGCACTTGCTAGAAAAAGAGGGAAAGGGGTAATAGACATGCCGGGGCGGGGGGCGGGGGGGTATCACACCGAAATCCCTCCTCTATTTCTCCCTCCTTTCAGAATTGTGCACATATGCCTAGTATGTTTCTCAAGCCATTGGGTCCAGGACTCAAACAGCACAGTTAGTCATATGGGATCCAGCTGCTTTAACCACCGTGCCATGGTCTTGGCTTGCGAGGGTATTTTTTAAGATCTCCCAGATGAATTCCAGTGCGCCATCAGAGGTGAGACCCATTGACCTGTGCTTTCTGGTGATGACTTTACAAATGTTGAAATCAAGCAGTCCATGGAACAAAACTCAACAATACTGCGACTTTCTCACTGGGTATGAGAGGGCAGAGTAGCACCACTGAGTGGTGGCTGGGGCCATGTGGGAGGTCCTGTGTATGCCTGTGTGCTGGCACATGCCTCTAGTCTAGGCTGGGGTAGGAGGAATGTGCCATGGGTAAGATCCTGTTAGGAATGCCTATCCCACCCTTCTCCTGTGGAAGAAAACAAAAGTAAATGGAACAAACTTAATAAAATGAAAACATTTCTCCCACTTTGGGAGAAATATATGATCTAGAAGTTAAATTGCTGAAGTATGTGGGAATTCTATGTATAACTTTTTGAGGCATTGCCAAGCTTCCACAAGACTATATTATTTTAGATACCCACCAGCAAGACAGAAAAGTTCCAATTTCCTCACATTGATTTTTTGTTTGTTTGTTTTGAGAGGTTTTCGCTACAGGGCGCATGCGCTTGCTCAACAGAGACATAGAGACAGAAAGCGAGAAATCACCCCCCCAGGGGGGATGGTCATGCTGCAATCCCTTCTCCATTCTCCTCCCGTGGTCTTGGGCACACATGCACACGCGCCCGGCGTGAGTTTTAAGCCACCGGGTCCGGGATGTGAACCGCGGTCGACTACGTGGGAGTCCAGCGACATAGCCATTATGCTAACTGCTGGTTCCCACATTGGTATTTTTAAATAGCCTTTTTAAAAAATAATTATTTTATTTAACTTTATTTATTTGTTTTAATTTGGCCACAGAGGGACAGAGTGAGAGAAAGCAGGAGAGGGAAAATGAGAAAGCAAACCACCAGGTCCAGGACTAGAACTGTGGTCAACCATGTGGGAGTCCAGCCCCCTTAACCACCATGCCACCTGCTGGCCCCTGTAATAGCCATATTAATGGGTATAAATTGGTATCTCATGTTTTATTTACTATTTCCTATCATTTTGTTTTAAAGACAGAGTCTCTGGGCAGGCAGGTGGCATGGTATTTTTAACATTGGACTCACAATATTTAAGTCCCAGACCCAGAGGCTCAAAAATCCTGCTGGACACGTGTTGTGTGCTCAAAATTCCAAGAGGAGAATGGAGGAGAAGGTATTGCAGCGTGGGTGTCCCTCTGGGGGAGGTGATTTATCAACTTTCATTTTCTCTGTGACAAGCACACACACTCTATGGCAAAAACCTTGAAAAAAAAGAAAAAGACAGGATCTCTTTCTGTTAAGATCCTCCTGCCTCAGCCTCTTTAAGTGGGTATAGATGGATGCAACCACACCAAATTTTTTGGGTAGGCTGAGAACACCTAGAAATCCCATGTGGCTCTAGTGGTTCTTTGTGCATTTGTATCTTCTCTGCAAAAATGTCCAAGATCTTTCTCCTTTTTTTGATCTATGTTGATTTATTGTTGAATTAGAGGGTTTTAAAAATGCATATACTGGGACCAGCAGTTGGTGTAATGGCTATGTCACTAGACTCCCATGTAGTCAGCTGCGATTCAAGTCCTGGACCCTTTGGCTTAAACTCAGGCCTGGCGCGTGTGCTTGCTTGCCCAAGATCTTGAGAGGAGAATGGAAGGGATTGCGGCGTGGCCATCCCCCCCTGGGGGTGATTTCTTGCTTTCTGTCTCTCTGTCTCTGTCTGTCTGGCGAGTACACGTGTCCTATAGCTAAAACCTCTCCCCCCTCCCAAAAAAGAAAAATCCTTAAGACCAACAGATAGCATAATGGTTATGTCGCTGGACTCCCATGTAGTCAATCACAGTTCAAGCCCTGGACCTGGTGGCTTAAAATTCACATCAGGTGCATGTGAATGCATGCCCAAAACCTCAAGAGGTGAATGGACGAAAAAAGACTGGCATGGCCATCCCCCCTGGGGAGTGATTTCTCACTTTCTGTCTTTCTGTCTCTGACTAGCACATGTGCTCTATAGTAAAAGTCTTTCTTAAAAAAAAAAAAAATCATGTATATTTTAATTATTTTTTGAGATGATAAATATTAGATACATGTAAATACGTATGTGTATAATGCATATATATCTACGTGTGTGTATTCTTTTTTAAAATTTTATTTATTCATGTTATTTTAATTTAACCAGAGAGACACACAGAGAGAGAGAGAGAGAGAGAAAGTGAGAATGCAAACTGCCAGATCCAGGACTCGAACTGTGGTCAGCCATGTGGGAATGTCCAGCGCCTTAACCACCACACCACCTGCTGGTCCCCGTGTGTGTGTGTGTGTGCGTGCACACGCATGTGTGTATTCTGAGGGCCAGGGGGTGGTTTGGTGGTTAAGGCACTGGATGCCCTCATCAACCCACTGACTGACTGCAGTTCAAGTTCTAGATCTGACAACTGAAAAAGTCATACCGGGTGCATGTACATACATGCCCAAAATCTCAAGAGAATGGACAAGTGGTTGTGATACGGCCATCCCCCTGAGGAGTGAGTTCTCACTTTCACCATTTCCGTCTCTCCAGTGAGTGCACACGCCCTATGGCAAAACCTAGAGAAAAAAAACAACTCAGATAAGTACTTTGCAAATATTTTCTCTGCCTCCCCCCCTTTTTTGAGAAGTTTTTGCCATAGGATGTGTTTGCTCACTAGAGAGACAGAGGGGAAGTGAAACCCCCACCCCCCAGGGGGTAGGCCACATCGCAATCCCTTCTCCATTCTCTTGGCATTTTTGGCAAGCACAGATGTGCCCACCATTTATTTCAAGCTGCCAGGTTCAGGACTCAAACCAAGGTCAACTATGGGAGTCCAGTACCTTACCCACTACACCTGCTATCCCTATTTTCTCCCATTTTGTGGCTTTTTTTTTTTCTTTTTTTT